TGCGTTCAATAATTCTGAGTTCCATTCATCCTGCTTACGCAATGACCAGGTTTCTGAGGCATACGTTAGGGCAGGAAGTATCGTTGAGTCGAAAAGATAGGGTATTCGTTGTTTTATTCACTACATTCTCGATGCTCTTCAAAGCTCCCCAAACCGCTCGTTTTCTTCTGCTCAACCCTGGAGTTAAATCGCTTAACATGTTGATTTTCTGACCTAGATAGTCATAACTGGAGCGTTCGGAGATATTCGTTCGAGGACGATTTCATCAGCAAAGCGAAGATGATGAAACTGCCGACGATCGACTTTCACTCCCATATTATTCCATTCCAATGTTCGCAAGCTAACCCCTATTTTAACGTCAATGTTAATATCGTTGTAGAATAGTGATATCTTGGTTGTGAAATTTTTGTACAGCTCACGAAGAATCTTTATGTAATGAGTAGGGACTCCTTGACCATCAAGGGCTTCCAAGACTGCTTCTATCTCAACTGAATCAAAGGCCTTCTGTAAATCGATGAAAGTGGGACAGAGCGGTCTTTTGTACTCTCGCGATACTTCAATGAGCCGTGTTATCGTGTGGGTGTGGTCCATCGTACTAAATGCGTTTCGAAAGCCTGCTTGCTCATATGACCGTTCTGTCAATCCTGTTTAGGATTGCTCGAGTGAATGTTTGTAGACGACAGGCAGTAAGCAGATTGGGCGATAGCTGCCGACATGGTGCAGGTTACCCTTCTTAAACAATAACACGCTCTTGCTGGTCTTTCACTGAGTAGGGATCTTGAATTCAGACAGGTAACGTGTGAAAAGCCGAGGCAGCGTATTTACGAGGATTGGCGGAAGGTTCATCAGGGGTTCTAGTCTTACACCAAGCCCGGTCCTGGTACTGTTGATTTTTCACCGACGAAATGGCATGTTGCATTTCGGAAGGGTCAACCGATGGTACAACATATCCATCCTCCTCTATTTCATATGACCAATAGTGGACGTGGCTATGGAAGAAATCTGAATAGTAATCGTGAGTGATTTTTTCCATTGCCTTTCTGGACGCTGTAAGTGCTCCATCTGGGCGTCAGAGTGCAATCATCTTGTTTTTAGTTGACGTAGCTTTGGTGTAATTCGCGAATGCTTTTCTCAGCCTCAGCAGCTTCGACCACAACGCTGTTTTTCTCTCGTTTAAATTTTCTTTTATCGCCTGCCTACATTGTTTCGCAAGTCCAGAAACTAGTGGGCGGTTGTCTGTGGCTCGTGCGATTTCACGCTAGCGTATCAGTTCGCGTGCTTCTAGAGACAAACATCTCTTGGTGACTTTCGAAAACAAGTCCTAGTTTATGGTGGTTTTGGAACTTAGTGTTCTGAATTTAGCGGCTTTTTCTCCTTTCTGCGAGAAATGGAATCTTGCACGAAGGAGGCGGTGGTCAGATCCGGTGTAAAATTTTGGAACAGCCAAGCAAAACTTTCGGTTTACTATGATGTGGTCTATTCCGTTATGGCACTCTCTACTGGGAGACTTCCATGACCAGCGCTGTGGGTGGGGCTTCTGGAATTGCGAGTTAGCATGGAAGGTCTTGGACGTCATAATGAACTCACAGAACCGCTCACCCCTTTCGTTCCATTCTAATCCGTGGGTCCCAAGCAACGCTCTTCAGACGTTTTTCTTAATCCAATTTTGGCGTTGAAATCACCAATGATGTATTTTGAAGAATGTATGGTCTTCTTTGTTGATCTTCTCCATGTTCATATAGAACGCTTCGGCTTCCTCTTCGTCATAGTTCGATGTCGGCGCGTTAACGACGAAGATCGTCAAAGCTGGTATTGATCCACATCTTTTTAATCATAAACGTCACAAATTATTCGGGCTGTAAGCTGCTCGAATGGACAAATGTTCATCGACAAACTCGTGTTGACGAGACCGCCAACTCCTCAACTATCACATGTTCCGAGAAAAAGTTCTTCTCCGAAGTCATAGACGGCGTGGATTGGATGACGTCATTTCGTCCCAGCCAGACCGGTGGCGACGTATCTCATTCTTTTTGCCTGTATGATCAAGTCTTCCGTCGAGGACTTGAATGCAAGTGTGCGTGCACTGTCGCTCCAGATCGCTACCGTAGTTCTTCGCGGTTTAGGCAGCTTAGGATGGTCCTGAGATTTTCGCAGCCCCTCCGTACTCATGCTACCCAATACTGCCGAATCATGGCTCTTTTGAGATCACGGAAATGAAGCCCGTTTTCTTTTACTATTATCAGCTTTTTGATACCAACGTATAGCTTGCTGTGCTCTGAACGTGAGGCTTAGATCTCTTCATGGGTAGCTTGCAAGTCTGTGCCAGAGTGGATATGGAAATTATTTTTTGGAGTGAGTTCTAACCGCCTCCCATATACTTCTCTGTCACTTGATTGCAAGCTTTTGGCCGAACTGACTCGTAGAGTACAATCCACATAAAGTTGAACGCACCCACACCGCGTCCATGACTACGCTTCGTAAATGCGGAAAGTATATGCCAAATCGGCGCCGCAGAAACAGGGCATCCATCCCCTGGATCCGCCTGCGTCTCAGTGAAGCGAAGTCGTTTTTGGTCCACGGACCCCTACCCGCCAGCTGAAGACGTGCCACCTAGCTCGGTGTCTTACCGGATCGAGACCCGTCGTATGATAGAGATCTGTCGCTCGGAAAATAATAGGTTGTTAGGGTAGAATGTTGACTGATAGAAAGACAAAGCGTGGGCCTCAAAGTATGCAGTGGACAACTTGTTATTCTGTTGTAAAGGTAATTAAAAGTTCGAAGCTCAACTGAGGCTCCGAGTTCTGATCATATTTTGGCATCATTTTTGTTGTACTTCTCCTCACGCCCTGCCGTGAAAAAAAAGTATAAGTAGTAAATAAAGGCTAACAATTAGTAATAAGACTGCTCGGCTGAAATTCTTCTTCTCCAATACTTTTTTAAATTCAACCAAAAGGGGTTCGACATAAAATATCAGCTGTGAGGGTAATCACATTTCTTAACTTTTTTTCAATACTCTTGTCGCATTAAAGTGCAAAATTTTCTTCAAGATTAGTAAATGTATAAGTAGTACTTTTAGTATTGTCAAGAAAGGACTCACAGGCTCATGTTAGCCCGATGGCGATAAAGTAGGCAAAGAATGCTCGAGTAGCATAGGCAACAAATGATAGAACATGGACCAAGGAATGAAGCCGTCACCAAATTGGTAACCTGGAATTGACTGCTCTAAGAAATTCAGCCATTAGTTGTTTTACTACATAAACTTTTTTATTAATGGGTTCATGTTAAAATCTGTGTCAAATTCATATATAATGATGTATATAAAGGATAAGAGGATAAAGCTCTCGGCGTTGATCAATCCTCGAGGGATGCACCATGCATTCGACTTCATTAAGAATCGTTTGAACACGGTTGAATGCATATCTGGCCTACAACGCCATGCGGTGGACTACCGATGTATCGAGCTTTTGCTGGTATCCTTCCAGACAAGTCTGGTGTCAATTTTCCGACCCCGGAGGAATGGAAGACTGGGTGGGCCATGGGCGCAGAAATCGATTCAACATGTGTGTCACAGTGGTGTCTCCAACCACTACGCCACACGCGTCCTCAATATTATATGTATATATATATATATATATACATATATATAAGTATATGAATTCGTATATGCATACTCTTATATCTATGTGTTCCTTCTACATCCAATACTTTGCTCTGATCAACGTGGGACCGCCTTAGCTCGGCTATCTCCTAGGTTGCATTCATAAAAAATACGAAAACCTTAAGCAGCAGTCAAAACAACACGCGAAGCTTTCGAAGGCCATTGCGAAGGATGAATGCTAGGAAAGCGAATGAAATGGAAGAAATGATGGGATCTTCACAGTATATGTGATGAGGGGTAATGCAAAATCAAAAAAATGTGAAAAAAAAACGTAAACGCACGCATGTTTCTATAAATATACAAAAACATATATACTTTTGAACATATGTATTTGTACAAAAGGCGCGTGTGGCACAGTAGTTGGATGCGCCTTGCAACAGACATATGGGATCGATTCCCGCGCCTCCGGCCCACCAAGCTTTCCATCTATCCGGGGTCGGCAGATTGGTACAGGACTTGTCTGGTAGGATAGCAGCGCTATAAATCATAGTGTATAATCAAATCATATTATAAAAATCATAGTGTACGTAACACCAAATAACACCAAATATTAATGGTGCGTGTATACATGGAGAGCTTAACATCTGTTATCTACAACGTAGGATAAGAAGCAAGCAAGGATGACTGCCTCTTGTATTCATCCTAGACGGAGCGGAGCCAGAGTGGAAAAGCCCTTGTGCACGACAGCAGGCCGTGCAAGCATGTGTTCTTTTTCACAGAAATCTATTTGGATGTTCCAAGGCATTCGTGGTAGAATGCATTCCGACCGTTCATTCTAGATGTTCAAACGGTGGGTGAAATTTGCATCGGACAAATTTACCCAGTTCTTACAAAGAGCAATTCCTATTACTAATACAGTATGCATGAAAAGGGTTTGAACGGAATAATGCACAAAAAACTCGTTGGAGACAAGAAGTTTAACCGGACAAGCAATGTACAGCCTACATAGGCAGCTCATCTGATAGATATGCTCCAGCTTAAGAGAAAGTTTGGTCTAGAGGATGGCTATGTCATGCAAAACATGCATTGTATAAGCAACTATGTGAATCTGTGCATGAACAATCTGAGATACAGGTGAATAGATAAAAACAGATGTGACTCTCTATGGGTGTGAGAGCAGTCGCTGTAATACAATTAAGATAATGTGAATTTGGTGCACAAAAGTAGAATTCTTTCTGCAGACTTCTTCAAAGAAATTCATGTTTTCGTGTGAAAAGTATTTCTGTAAATAATAACTATGGTTGAAAACAGTTTCAAAGGTTTCTGACTCAGTTTTCCTGCACTGACCAAAACAAGCGAAGTGGTCACATTGAATTTCATGTCGTCTTTAAACGTGATCCGTTCACGCCCGATAACTGGCATCAAGAAGACGAACGGCAACACCCATTGCATACACACAAGAATCCATCGCTTGCTGGAGTTCAGCCACTGGAAAATTATCATAATGCTCTGGTATTTGAAGTGCGTCAGTGATATTGATTCTACTCTGTCTTTTCTGATTGCGGTCAGTTAATCGGGGGCAGTACTTTACAGAGAAGCTGTGAGAACCCGCTATTATTTCGTTGCAAGAGACGAAAGCGGCGATGATTTTCCTCGCGACGTAGAAGGGGTTAGCAGCTTGGTACAATGATAGCTGCGATCTCAGGCCGAAGATTGCGAATTGCTAAAAGCAGGTTCAAACAGTATTGAACATAACAAAGAGCACAAGAATATAAGCGTTTTTAACAGTAAAAACAAAGCTCGTTTATTCTGGTAAAACATATTCTTCATTTGCGGAAATGGCGAATTCAGCGAAGACAACGATACACTAACATGTAGAAAGGAGAAGGCTCTCAACGTTAGTGAATCCTTGAAGGACGCGTTGACTATTCAAGTCCACGAGCGTCCCAATATTTTTTTGCTTGTAGAGATGTTTGGTACCAATTTGCTGATGTCGAAGTGACGGAAGGCTTGGGGCGCATGGGGGTGGCTACGAATTATCGGCACCATGTGTATTGCAGAACACCTCTCGCTATCATGGTACATGACGTTTGAGGCAGCAACAAAAATGCCGTTATTTCTATTTGATAATTGAGTAAGCTTGCAATTGCGTCATACAAATTTTATTGAAAGTTATCGAGTACCGATCTTCCTAACTTATGAAAAAGCAGCTGAACGTTGAGCCATGGCTGTACACGATGGCTCGACATCAAGAATCATCAACGCCCTTCTATTACTTAGCAAAACAAATTTTAGCATTCTTCCTTATTTATCAGTGTCAGAATTTTTCACTATAAAATCAAACTCACTTCATCAATGGCCGATCCATTCCGACATATTCCTACGTATCGTTGAACAGTGATGAGAAGAATGCCAAATATGCGCATTATTTCCAAAATGTAGTACTGAGCAAAGCACCACGTTCCAAGGAACGACTCGTGACGTCGATAGAAATCGTCGCACAAATGGTTTCGTCGAATTGTGACACAAAAGACAAAGTTGGCGACTGCGATAAGATCGGCAGCACCCTGTAAAAAAAAAGATGAAAACAAATAGAACATCTTAACACATAAAAATTCTCCCATGGAGAATCACATTTCTTTAAAATCTCGCCATGCCCTGCATTCCTATGCCGGGATAGGTCGCAAGTAATACCGATTATGAGCCTTTATTTGGGAGGACCAGCTTGGGTTGCTTTGTTCCCGCTTCTATAAATTATTTACTCACGTGCAATACGTAGCTTAAGTGCAATGAAAAAAATTGTCAACGGTGCAAGGGAATGTTGTAGTATGAAATAAATGGAACATATCGCACAGTCCTCATGCTTCGTTCTCTTGGTACCTTCTGTGAAAGCAGTGAATCTGTCTTTGAATCTCACTGTGAGCAGAGGAAGTTACTACTTGCTACAAACACACTCCCCTATCGTATTGATAGTCTCTTAACAAAGTATTAGTTGGGTCTACTGTTTTTCCCGTCAATTCTCAAGTTGTTAAACAAGCAAAGAATGTAGTAACTGCTACCTATGTCCCTTCTATTAACACGAGCAATAGCACAGTGTTTGAATGTTTGGCGACTGTCCAGAAATTCTTCCGTGAACAATTGTCTAGTAGTAAAAGTTCTAACAAGGTCACATCATTCTTCGTGATTGAGGGTGGACAACCTAACCCAGCAGTTTTTCGTTCTGTGCCCTCGCAATTTTTTCTGCTCCTTACTTCTGCAGCTTCACACTCTTTCTATTTGTGAGCTACAACGCCTTTTGGTTGAGATAAGATCTTAAATGTCTAAATGAAGAAATGAGGCATATTTTGCGTAATTCACTAGCACTTCACCCGTAGCCACTCAGATCATTCACAAATCGTCGCATGTGCAGAAAACGAATCGCGTCAGCGATGTTACTCTGATAAACAACCTGCACCTTCCTTGTTTCTAATCCACAGAAATTCGAATTGACCACTCCAACCGTAAGCTCAGCTAAGAGGGAGCCGTCACCACGAATTGCCATCATCGTGGTATCAAATTATTCTCGAGGTGGCAAATCTCTCTTTGACTCACAAAGACCACCTGCTGCCGGTGGGGGTGACGAAATGCGGAAAATTTGTTCAGGCTGACTCCGACAAACCAGTGAGCTACAATGGCTGAAATAGGAAACCTCTAGCCTTAGTATAGGATGCTTCCATCTACAACGTTGGGACAAACCGTGAGTAATGATCAAATTTCGGGTTGCGCAGGAGGCCACTGGAAACGGACAAAGCGACTGTGCGCACGAAACGCCGTTGAAACTGCTTCTTGCTGTGCATCTCTAGCACCAAAACAGTTGTCGCAAAAGTCGGCACTTATGACTTGCCTGGTGCCACTTTCCTCATCAAATTCTATGTGATCGCTCCATATGAGACGAAAATCAGGAAGACCGACGATCTCCACTTTAATGGCCGGACTGGCATAGGAATTCCCGTTAATTCCCGTTACAAAGTGTTGGAGCCACTGATTTTGTCCTACGCCTGTTTCTTTCCCATTCAGTCATTTTATACCAAACATTTCCATCGTTTTTGGCTATTATTCATCTGTAAATTCTGTATCAAATAAAAGTCAGCACATCGACTACCACTCACCGACTTGTACAGCTGATGAAAGCGAACAGAACGTCCTTTACAGCCAGCTGGAAGCAATCAGCAAAAAAAAAGTCATATAGATTCGTTGCTGGGGACTTTAGCACCAGACAAAGAGCGATACGTAGGACTACTTTCCACAAGAGATCTCTTTCGTGAAAATTCTCTTCTTTAAAAGACAGGGAATCACTGACGGACATGGCAGTCTCTTAACGGCACGGCACGATTCATGAGGAGATTGATCATATTCTCACGAACAGAAAATCACGCCTCCTTGACCTTAGTCGTAGATTGATACTGTGCAGAATTTGACAACACGTCCTCCATGCGAAAATTTGCTTCAACCGTGGGCTGGAAAACACCCCTTTCACCACTTAAGAAAAACGTCTCTCAAAAAAAGTGAAGACAGCACCTCCATTATGCGAAAGAATTCTTCGAAAAGAAAAGGATATGGAAGCTTGATCCTATCCCAACACACTCAACACTGATCATAAAGAATGCTAGTTGCGTGTGATCTTTAGATGAGGATTTATATTGGAATTAAGAAAAAAGTTGTCGGAAGTAGCTCAAAAACGATCTACTCTGAAGATTTGTCATCAGGACCCGTGCGATTATAATGTTTCGCTTCCCGACCTGGTGAGCAAGAATGGAACTAAAACACATCCCACCCCAAAAGAAAATGGCTGCATCACAGTATTTTCCGTTCCTCAATCTGGAAAAGCTCTGGAGCCACTTTTTTTGCTAGTCAATGCCAACTGGTAAAAACCGCTCGAGATTCTATTTACTAAAATTTCAGTAGTCATGGAAAGGATGAAGACGTGCACAGATTTCCTTTGAGGTTTTTCTTGATTTCTCGAAGCACGCGTACGTCTCGCAGCAAATATAATACTTCCACTTAAGAATGAGAAAATCCCTGAGCAGCTGAAAACATCGAGGATTGTAATTCTGCACAAAAAAGGTGAGTGAAGGAATTTTTGTATTTATCGTCTGAAGTGGATAGTGAGTGTACTCCACAAGCTACTCACGAAGATTATCCTTTTGCGCATATCGTAAGCCTTGGTTGAGGCAAAACGGATTCAGCAATCAAGATTCCGACAAAAATTCTGCTTCATGAACCACACATAGACCGTTTCTTCACGGGTCCTAGAATTCTGTCGGGAGTAACATTCGCTTTTTGGTCTAACCTTAATCCATTATGAAAAAGTGTTTAACAAACAACGAATTCTTAATCTGACACATTTCGCGAGAGAATCATGTATACAGCGTGGGTTTTGCTCCTTACCTAAAATTCCTCCATGGAAATGCGCTTCCGCGGATATCAACACCTAGAGACCGATTTGGTTCTTGTTTCGGTTTCGCTTCATTCTTATGTTGTATTCCTTTCCAACGATAATGCGGCATGCGAGCACAAAGGCCTACGATGGAAAGTTCCGAGTTTTTAAGATTCCAAGCTAACAATAAAATAGGGTTATTGGTGCAGCCGTTGGTTTCCCGGTACTCTTCACCTTGAAGACGAATTCGTTCACTTGCAAACAAACTCCATCAAGTGTGTCAGCGATTCCACGTTATGGGTTCGCTCACAGGCAAATTTGAAGATGAAATTTTGTGCACTTTCATAGTCTCAAGGAGAATTTACTGGGAAAGCAACTGCTTACTGCATTTCGAGGTTCATTCGGAGGAATCACAGGAGGTTTGATTCTGACATACGCGAAGCTCGTTATGCCACCCTTTAGATTTGTCAATGGCCTGAATCTGTCGATCGAGCAGAGTGTTCAATTACATTAGCCAACTGGCTGATTCTGAACGTAGATTTTTTTGGACGCCGTTATTTAAGATCTCCTCATTTATTTGGAGTTTATTTCGTCTTTTCTTTTCAAGAAATGCTTTTTCTAACTCACCTGTGATATTATAAAGACATTATACGTCTTATATTGGTCCTTGCATCTCCACTCTCTAACTGTGATAAAAATGATGGAAACGTAAAGGGGTACTGTAAATACTGTGAGAAGAAGAAACAACCAATGAAGCACTGATATCTGCATATCGAAGGGATTGTTCAGTTCACTAAAAATTTTCGTGTGAACAACACGAAATCGTTTCAAAATACTGTTTTTCAGAGATTTTGAAGATATTGGGCTAGGAAGAAGAATAAAAAGAAATGATGTAAAAAGCTAATATTATATATAATATTAAAGGCTGAAGGTGTGGTAAGATATCAGCGATGTTTTTGTTAACACGAAAAATAAGGCTCTCGGCTTTGATAAGTCCCTGTGGGACGCGCCATGCATTCGACCTCATTAAGCATCGCTGGAGGCTAGTAAGTACATATCTGGCTTTTACAATAACTGGCAGTGGCCTTCCGATGCATAGAACCTGTGCTGCTATCCTAGACAAGTCTGGCACCAATTTGCCAACTCCGGAGAGGTGTAAGGCTTGGTGAGCCACGGGTGCGGTAATCGATCCCATATGTTTGCAGCATAAATTCCGTCGTTTGATGATGGTTCAAAAGTTCGAATCGCAGTACTGTAAATTTATTTTTCGACATTTCTAGAGACTATCAAAACAGACCTAGGATCCATTAAAGTCTAAATTGTTCAAGAGTCAAAAAAATCGGATCTCTGCATATCAGAATCCGTCAGAATTAATTTAGCATGAGAAGAAGAGGACTATAACGAAGACCTCCTACCCGCCTTCATCGTAAAACGAAGAAATGGGCGTGGATCATGACAAGAGGTATGTTACAGCCTACACTCCGCTCACGTTCCTATTGCAGACGTTCCTATTGCATTGTAATCTTAGCGGGCCCAATGTGGTGGATGTTGAGAATTGTTCACTGCGGGTCAAGCCGCTTTCTGTTCGCTAAACTGCCAAATCGGCGCAGCAGAAATGAGGAGCCCATCCCCTGGATGCATCTGCGTCTCAGGGAAACACAGTCGCTTTTGGACCCCGACTAACCCCCTCTCCGCCACCTGGGGCAGCCAAATAGCCTCGCGACTAACCCGGCTCGAGATCCCTCATATGAGAACCTTGAACCCTAGGATAGAGGGTTAATCGCGGACCAAAAGCGACCTTTGTTTCACTGAGACGCAGGTGGATCCAGGGGATGGACTCTCTGTTTCTGCTGCGCCGATTTGGCACATTCTGTAATTACGAGGCGTATTCATGCATGCGTGTGTAGGTGCGTTCTTGCTTATGCGGATTGTGTTCTACGAGTCAATTCGGCCAAAACTCTGCAATCAAGTAACTGGGAAGTATATGGGAGGCTATTAGGAGTCGCCTCCGATAAATAAGCTCCATGTCCACTCTGGGAGAGCCTGGCAAGCTACCCGAGAGTGTACCCAGCCCCCACCCCACATTCAGAGCCCAGCAAGCTATACGTGGTTATCAAAAAGCCAAAAACAGTAAAAGAAACAGGCTTTTTTTTTCCTAACCCCGAAAGAGCCCTTAATTCGGTAGCGTTAGGTGGGACGGGTACGGAGAGGCGGCTAAAAACTCAGGGCCATCCTAAGCTGCCTAAGCCTCAAAGAACTAAGGTGGCGATCTGTACCGACAATGCACGCACACTTGCATTCAAGTCCTCGACGGAAGACCTGATCATGCAAACAAGAAGGATGAGGTGCAACGTCACCGGCCTGGCTTAGACGAAATGACGCCATCCATTTAACGCCGACTATGACTTCGGGGAAGAAATGTTCCTCGGAACATGCGACAGCAGAGAAGTCAGCGGCGTCGGCGTTCTCGTCAACACGAGTTTGTCCATGAACATCTGTTCATTCGAACAGCTTACAACCCGAATAATTTGTGACGTTTATGATTAGACAGATGTGGATCATTACCAGCTTTGACAATCTTCGCCGTTTACGCGCCGAAATCAAACTATGACATAAAAAAAGTCGAAGCGTTCTATATGGACTTGGAGAAATTCTACAGAGAAGACCACACATTCTTCAGGGTACATCATTGTAGATTTTAACGCCAGGATTGGACCAAGAAGAACCTCTGAAGCATGTCACATTGGGACCCACGGATTAGAATGGAGCGAAAGGGGTGAGCGGTTCTCTGAGTTTATCATGACGTCCAAGACCATCCATGGTAACTCGCAATTCCAGAAGCGCCACCCTCAACGCTGGACGTGAGAGTCTCCCAGTGGAGAGTGCAATAACGGAATAGATCACATCATAGTAAACGGAGGGTTTTGCCTAACCGATGTCGCTATTGTTCCAAAATTCTACACCGGATCTTACCGCCGCCTCCTTTTTGCAAGATTCTATCTCTCGCAGAAAGGAGAAAAGCAGCTAAATTTAAAAAAACGAAGTCCCAAAACCACCATAAATCGGAAATTATTCAACTCAATAGTGAGCTGGTGGGAAGACGTTCTTGTCGATAACATCGACGA